TATTCAAATATTTCATAAATAACAATAAATATCAACAATGTCTCAAGAACATAAACTTTGAATCAATTATGAAAAAGAGTGGAGAGAAAAAAATGCTTATTTACCCTCAGCCCCCTACAATCATCCTTACAGTCACGCTTCTGCTGTACTCTTAGTTAAGTATTTCTAACTCACTAAGTAGTCTAATAAGACTACGTTCAGACTGCTCAATTCCGATTTTTTTGTGAAATCTGATGTTTTTGCGAGGTCGTTCACATTTCCAATTAAATGTGACTTGTATGTGACTCCAGTGTGAACATTAAACAGCCCGAAAGTGTCCCACATGTGCACTGGAGACACAATGACGTCAACCGCAGTGAGCGTGCTCTGTTTACAGAAGTTGTCCAAACATGGATGCAGCATTGAGCACCTGGAGATTTTAAAGTTCCTCTCGTACCGGAGCCAGAACATGAACAACTTACCTCTTTTAAGGAGGAGATTGAGAAGGACGAGGTTTTTGGTCGTGGTGTTTTGTGGGGCAGCGGCAGCGACGTCCGTTGAAAGGAACATGTGGATGTGGAGACGGAGCCAAGAGTGGTGAGTGGTGATGTGCTTCACTTCATTGAGTTCATTAACAATTTTCACCTACTTCAACACAGAATAGTGACGTTTGTGTCTTGTTGATAACGTGTAGGTGGATGAATGCGCTTTGACCGTTCAGACTGAAGTCACATGTCAAAAGATCAGATATGTATCAGTTTCAGGAGCACATATCCAAGTGTCCTGGGTCACATTTGAAAAAATCAGATCTGTGTCGTTCAGACTGTCATTAAAAGATCAGATACAGGTCACATAGGGGCCAAAAAATCAGATTTGGGTCACTTCAGGCTGCAGTCTGAACACAGCCTAAGTTATTTTTATCATGTTTTTTGTGTACCCTCCTCCCACACTACTGAAGTTCCTGTAGAAGGCCGTTGTCATATTTAAGAAATCAAAACGGACACGGAGTTGTTAATGTTAACTCACCGCACATAAAAGCTTCTCTTACGTTCTCAGTTCATTGACGTACACCTCTTAACACACACACACATTAAACACACACTATAAAACCATACACAAAAGACATGACATTTGAAAGTTCTGTCCACAGTTCATTCTTATTGCAGTACAGGTGCAGCTATAATTACCTGTGTACAAGCAGCAGATCAAATGGCGCCCTCAGTGTTTGTATTGAAACAAATGGCTGTGGTGTTAGGTGTCTACTCCGCACAGCCCAACGCAGACATCATCGTTTGTGCCTCGAGCGTTTGATGAAGAGGGACTGTCAGAGCCCAACAACAGCCAACTCAACCCAGCGCTCCCGGACACCCGACCAAACCCAGATTGATTACACCCAGCTCTGGTCTCTGTAACAGGCTCTTTATATGCACTATACTTCACTGTCTGCACAAGCAAAGAAATATTGTGTTCAGTTTAAGGAGCGTAAAAGGGAAATGAGGAGGAATTTTGTTAAAAGGTCCTACGTTTATAAGGCAAAATGTGAGCTTCAAGTCGTGTTACAATGTTACCTCCTCGAAAAAAGACCTGGACTTGTGTTTTGTTGTGTTTCATTCACACATTTGAGTAATCATTTGTTATTAGTCTGTCAAAGCTCAAAATGCTGTTTCATGAAGCGGTAGTTTTCAAGTTAATGGCTTCGTTTTACTTTTAGTTTCAGAAGAGATTGGCAACTCCAGAGCTGAAATCATCCAAATGATTCTAGTGACGATGTATGGATCTTAAAAACACCGTGGAGCACTCCCAGTATAACCGCATGACATCATAAGGTGAAGTCTGAGAGAAGAACTAGGCTTAAATCTGCAGGGTTTTTGTGTTAAATGTGTGCGAATGAAACAAAAAACACAACTCCAGGGATTTATTTGTGGTCACGCCAACACGCTTTAACTATTCATGAGTTTTCAGCAGCAGGTGTGACCCTATTTATTAAAGTCATGTGACCAATTATCCAACGCGTGATTATTAAAAACAAAATATACATATCCTCCTGGAACCTGAAGACAAGAAAAAATTCTTGCAATATATATATATATATATATATTATATATATTTTATTTTTATTTTTTTTGTGATTTTTTGTTGTTTATTTATTTATTTTTTTATCTATTTGGAGGTAAATGAACATCTTAACATTTATTTTTATTTATAATTTTAAAACATGTCCTCTGTAATGGACGCCGGGGACATTTTGGTTTTAAATCCATGTGACGTTAATCTAACAATAACAACTTTTTTGATCACCAATATCTCTGAAAAGCTTCTATAGTCACCTGAAGTTTTTAGAATCCCCGCTTTTTTAAAATAGTGCAGCCACAAACTAACTCTTATTGATTTCATGTCCAGGATTTTTTATATTTATTTTATTTTTTTAATGATTGTAACCCCAAGCCCTATTTAGGCAGAGGAACCTAGTCCCCTCACTCAAAACAGTTAAAAGAAAGACTGGTTAACTCAATGTCCACTATAAAGGACACAAATGAATAGGCCAGGTCTTAGGAGAATATACGTGTTGAATCCAAGTATTCTGACAACATTCCACTCCAGCACAACAGATAAGAGCCACTGTTGTGTATACGCTGGAGTATAGTCAACAGTACACATTTCCCTTAGGTTACACAGCACACTTCATCAAAAGTTAACAGTATCACAAATAGAAAGCACCAGACATTTTTAAAGAAAAGTTTTTATCAAAAATGCCCGGGGTATTTGGTGGCCAACTGTTAAGAGACCACAAATAAATACACTGCAAATCAGAGTGCCTCCACCATCTTCTTTCTTCTCTACAAGAATTCAAACCCCTGGTGTGATGACCTAGTCTGATTCATCAGCTGGTTTCACTTTGTGGAAACCGTCTGACCTCGCAGCATTAGGATTCATTCGCTCGACAGTCGGTGGGTACTTCTTTTACTTAACCAATTGCTGCTATTTGGTTGTGATGTATTTAGTGACGGGAAAATGAGTCGGAGCTCTGGAGCACGTCTCCTTCTTTCTGAAACAAATCACTCTGAAGCACTGCCTCAGAGCTCGTCTCGCAGCAGCCGCTCACGTGACCGAAGTGCGGAAGTGTCAGTCCCTCCCCCTACTGCTTCACTCTGCGTGTCAATCGCTTCAGTGTATGGAAGCGTTTCATTGGGTCGGCGAATGTTCCGTTCTGTGATTGGTTCAGAGTGCTTCAGAGTGTTCAGCGCACTTCCGTGGTTTGACAAGCGCTAAACTGCTACAGTATAAAAGATGCACCAATATTTCTTTAAAACGTTGGGTAGTGAGGAGGATTGTGTGACGTCAGTGGTGATTTTGGCGACTTTTGGCATTTGTTTCATTTTCGATGGCATCAACAAGTGGAAAAAAGTGATCCATGGTTTTGGATCACCTTGATCTAATTCCACCTAACAAGGTCACCTACTTTCTTATTTACAGCTGCTGTTTATGTTGCTCTTTACATATTATTTTAAATCATCATTATTATTGTTATTGTTGGGTACTGTGTCGCTCTGCACACAAGTATTGTCTTATTGTTAGATTTGTCCACTAGAGGTCAGTGTTTCTCCGAGGCCTCAGACACGTCGAACCATTTGAGACAATGTCGTGACTGAGGTGTCAGTGCTTCACGAGGCTCCATTCGCCCATCATTAGATGTATGTAATTCGCCGCTAACGGGGTTAACTGGTATATTAAGCTTTTCCCAAATCCTGTAGGAAGAAGGACAATAACGTCTTTCCCCTTGATAAAATTCACCGAACATTTATTTCCTCGATCTCGGGAATCGTTGCCAACACAAAATGTATGTCTCTTCGCTGATTGACTGGTGCCTGAACTTGCACTTCCGGGGTTTTTGCAAACCATCTAGTGTATTCTGATTCCTGACCTAGTCGCTGGAGAGAAATGAGATTGAGCTGAGGCACTAGGTGGCGCCAACCTGGCTACTGATGAGCACCTGTGTTTGTAAGTTTTGATCCAGTGCAGTAGTCCAACTCCAGGTATGATTGTGATGAGGAAACAACATCCATCCATCCATCCATCCATTTTCTTCCTCTTATCCGGGGCCGGGTCGTGGGGGCAGCAGTCTAAGCAGGGACTCCCAGACTTCCTTCACCCCAGACACGTCCTCCAGCTCCTCCAGGGGGACCCCAAGGCGTTCCCAGGCCAGCCGAGAGACATAGTCCCTCCAGCATGTCCTGGGTCTTCCCAACATTATTAAATAAATCAGAAAATAAACCTGATAAAAAAAAAAAACAAGTACAAAATGATATGCTCCTTCTAACTAATATTATGACCAATGATAGACAGTTAAAATTAATAAGTACGCTTATAGTAATTAAGGCGGGCCTATTATGCAAAATCCACTTCTCAAAGCGTTTAACCATGCTCTACTTGTTTCCATTTCACATTTACCATCTCATAGCTGTATTTAGAGTGATTTGTGCATGTTTGAGCAATCTTTAATCACTTATTTTCAAGAAAACATTGTCGACCTACTCTCATTTTCACCTCCACTGGTACACGCCCACTGCTCTGTACTTCATTTATTCTCTGATTGTATTTTCTTCATCAGTGATAAGTGTAGGATGTGGCAGCGTTGCGTAGTTAAATGGTACAAATGAAAAAAAATTAAAAATCTGCTGCTCTCAAGTGTGATGTGCAGCTATCCATTAGAGATACAAGCTCTTTGTTGTGATGACATTTATGCTGACGTCAACTGTTTCTTTTATTAAGTTGTTTTAGATGAATATTGCGATTTAAATTTGGAAAATTATAACCTAATGATCGAACTATAGATCAGACACAAGCACCTTTGTACAGATGCATTGTGTAACTTATCTGTTAGAGCAGTGATGCCATGGTTACGGCCCGGGGGGCCGGACCCGGCCCGACTGTACGTTGCATCCGGCCCGTGGATGATAAGGGGACAACTTTAATAATCTATTTATTTTATCTAATGTTTTTTTTTTTTTTTATTATTATTTTATTCAAATTTCTGTGAAATCTGTCAGTTGCTGCTGCCCTCCTAATGTTTCATTTTTTAAAATCGAATTTTCGGTGGAATCTGTCAGTTGGTCAGTCGCTGCGGCCCGCCTCAGCAGTGCTGACCATGACACAGGAAGTCTATGGTGCCGGGGCAGACTAGTCCCTATCAAGATGTTGTCAAAAAAGAGGAAAGTCGACACTGAAGGTCGCATCTTTCAGGAGACGTGGAAAGAAAAGTATTTCTTTTGGGAAGTAGGGGGCAAACCCGTGTGTCTTATTTGTTCTCAACAAGTTGCTGTAGCAAAGGAGTACAATATCAAACGCCACTACGAGACCCACGCCGAGAAGTACTCCGAGTACACGGGGCAACTTCGGACTAAAAAGCTAAACGAGCTAGCATCATCGCTACAGAAACAACAAGCCGTGTTCTCCAAATGTCGAGATACACACGAAGGTTCGTTTTATTTATTGTTTACAGCACCGTTCCTGAAAGTGGAGGGTTTCAATTTTGTTATAACTATACATTTTATTTTATTTCAAGGGGCAGTGAAGGCAAGCTACATCATCGCTTGGGAAATTGCTAAGGCATCCAAGCCTTTCTCAGAGGGTGCATTCGTCAAAACCTGCATGCTAAAGGCAGCCGAGCTAGTGTGTCCTGACAAGCGACAAGCTTTAGCCAACATAAGCTTGTCCAGGCCGACAATGACGGAGAGAACTGAAGAACTTTCTGGTGATTTAAAGAGTCAACTAAAAGACAAGGCTAAGTCCTTCATCGCATTCTCTGTTGCTCTCGACGAGAGCACTGACGTGACTGATGTAGCTCAGTTAGCGATATTTATTCGCAGTGTGGACGCTTCCCTGAATGTCACTGAGGAGTTTGTGTCAGTTGTGCCAATGACAGACACCACCACAGCTAACGACGTATTTGTTAGCCTTGTCGGGGCCCTGGACAAACTGGAGGTGAACTGGAGTAGCGCTGTCAGTGTGGCTACCGACGGCACACCTTCTATGATCGGAAGAAAGGCAGGAGTGGTTGCGAAGTTGAGAGAAAAGGTAACTGCGGCTAGTCAAGAGCAAGTATTTTGGAACTTTCACTGTATACTGCACCAAGAGGCGTTGTGCTGCAAGAGTCTGAAAATGAACCATGTCATGCGTGTTGTTATTGACACTGTGAATTTTATTCGAGCCAGAAGACTTAACCATAGGCAATTTGACGTGTTTTTATTAGAACACGACATTCATCATGGTCTTCCCTATCACACCGATGTGCGTTGGTTGAGCCGAGGCGCAGTGCTGAAACAGTTCTACAAATTACACCCAGAGATAACCGAGTTCATGCAGGGTAAAGGGAAGCCTGTGCTGGAAGTGGACGACTCAGAATGGACCAGGGATCTTGCCTTTTTAGTGGACATTACCGAACATCTAAATGTGTTGAATGTTACTATGCAGGGCCGCAACAAACTCGTCACAGAGTATTATGATAGTGCTCGTGCTTTTCAAAGTAAACTGGCGTTGTGGGAGACGCAGCTCCGCCAGCGCAACGCCGCTCACTTGCCTTGTCTTAAATCTCAACCTGTCAATCATCGGAGTATGGACAAGTATGCAAACTTGCTTTCCGGACTCGGGCATGAGTTTGACACTCGATTCATGGTTTTTACTGAACTGGAAAAGGACTTTGCGCTGTTTCGCTCTCCATTCACAGTTGACGCTTCCGAGGTCCCAGAGGCGATCCAGATGGAACTGATAGAACTGCAGTGTTCGGCGCTGTTGAAGGAAAACTATGCATCTGTTGCGATCGAATCATTCTATCAATCCTTGCCACCAGAGTACCCAATGCTCACGGCCTTTGCAGGTAAAATACTTTGTATGTTTGGGACAACATATTTATGTGAGCAGGCGTTTTCCCTGATGAATATTAATAAATCGAAAGTGCGAAATCGCTTGACGCACGGACATCTAAATGATGTTATGAAAATAGCCACTGCGCAGAAACTGTGCCCCGATGTGGATAAAGTTAAAAGGTGTTTGGCCTCAACAAGTAAAATGTAGTTGAAGTAGGCTGGTCTCCCCTTTGATTATAATCCTGCGTGATATGGGTGGGAGGGATTACAGAGGTTTTGGCTATCTGACGGTCTGTGTAGGCTTGTGTCATAGTTGACCGGTGATGACTGGCAAAGTTAAAGTGCCTCATCTGTTGAGCCAATTTAATGTTTTAAGATAGCTCATATTTGTCAATCACATGGCTTGTTTTTTACTTATTTCTTTTCATTGTTTCTGTGCCTACTTTTGGCCTACTTGGCTTGGCCTTCTTTTAATTGGCCTATTTATGCATTGACATGTTTTCATGTGCAAGCCTTCAATAAATATGATCAAAGTAATTAAAAGTTTACACTCGTGTTATTTATAGGAAATGTGTTTTGTTAGCATGTACAGTTGTAGTCTGTTATGTTGCATTTCTGATTTATAAATGTAGGCTTCTTGCATGGATAGGAAAATGTTACGTTTTTAGAGGGTAACTGTCTCCTGCTTTAGGCTATGTAATTGTAGGCCTCATTGTGAAGTTATTGTGGTGCCAATGCAATTTCAAATAGCCTATCCATGTGTTGCATCAGTGTTTGGCCAAAAGTGTAATTTGGCCCCCTGGGGGCTCACTTGAAAAAAATCTGGCCCCCTGTCCAATTTCACCCTGGCATCCCTGTGTTAGAGGGTATGGAGTCTCTGTGGTGATGTTATTGGTTTCTCTGACCACCACAAATCAACCTCATCCCTCGGGCTTATAGAAATGGTAGGTGATGTGGTTTCTTGCCCAAGGACACAACAACAGTGTGGTTATACATGGTCGTAGCTTGGACCATTTGAGCCACTGTCCTTCCTTTACATGACCTTTAAGTTGAGGATTCTCTGGGCTGGTTGGGAAATCTGCCATGAACTGTGGACAAGACCGAGCTGGAGGTTTAGACTCTGGTCTCGTCGACAGTCCCTGGGAGTGTGATTCTAACTGGAGGCACTGCTCTGTTCAAGACTCTGTGAGACTTTAACACAGACTGACAAAAAAGAACTGATTTAACTGGAACTACATACAACAAGGGAACTGATGTATACAGTTAAACAAGTCCCTCTCAAATAACATTACAACAGTAAGTAAACTCCTGAACAGGATCATAAACTCATATTGATCACAGGCTCTTGAAAATACGCCGTTTCAATCCATTTTGTATTTTTTCTTGGAGGTTCGCTGCCTATTCTGAGATTCCTTCATTATAACATGCCAGTTTTCCAACACTTTTTAGTATCGCTATTCTGACACGTCATATTACGAAATGAATGAAGCACAAAGGGCCCATGCAGCCTCCGTTTTATATTAGATATTTTCCCGAAGGCTGGCCTATGCTCTTTTTTAAAATGCATGACTGTTTCCCATGGCGATCAGTTAGGACATTTTCCCACTGTCTGATATTCTATGTGACCGAAGTTCTTTGATCAAGAGCCTTGCACCAGCCCAAGTATCTTATGATATACGGGAGCACAAAGTATAATAGGCTATCACATTCATGTTATTCATTTTGGAAAAGCGTAACGTTTGAAAAATAGTAAAGTGCCGCTACTTTGACAATGAAACATAAAAAAAGTCAAAGCAGTGGGATGCTTGAAAAATAATGTTTATCCCTCTACTCTGACAATTAAACGTCAATGTCTAAAAACTAACACCAACAAGCCAAGATGGATTCACGTCAGAAAGTAAAGGAGTATGTGGAAGAAAAAAATAAATAAAAATATATATTTTTTTTTAAAAAAGGATCAAGCAAAAGTAGTTACATATCTTTGGCAGGTTACTTTAATATCATTGTTTAAAAAAAAAAAAAAAAAAAAAAAAAAAAAAGGGACAAGTGCAGCTACCACTGTCCCATTATGGCAAAAAAAAAAAAAGAGCGGCAGTTTTTTCTTAAGTTTTCAGACAATCAAACTTTTTTAGACAGTGTTTGCTAATGAAAATTAAAATGCAATATTTCTGTTATAAAATTCATAAGACTAAATTCTTATTTCATTTAAATAGCTAAAAAACATTTTCATTTGACGTAAATACATACTTCATTGATGTTTTTTTTTTTTGTTTGTTTGTCTTTTTATCATGTCATTGTACGTATGTAATAACAGGGTCTTTACTGTTACTTTAAGAATGTGAGACTCAAAGGCTCATGGGAAAAGTGCATTGTTTTGTTGCTGTTGTAAAGACGCAGAAAAAATGAAAAATACTTTGTTAACAAATGAACCGAAATCTGAAATTAAAAGTTGCCCAAAAGCTAAAATGAGAGCGAGTCTTGTTCATTTCAGGGGTGCAGCATATGCACTATGTCTCCACAGTAACTGGTGAAAATTCCACCGTACACATACATGTATAACACCCCCAGCGTAATGTCACTGCAGAGACCCAAATGAAGGAGCAGTAAACCTCGTGCAGAGACATGTTTGATGCTGGAAATAAGCATCTAAGGACTTGAGCAGAGTGTCAATTTTGCTTGACGATCAGAGCCAGTCAAAAGTGGCGTTCATGTGCGCTGTCTGCGGCGGCTACGATCCATCAAAACACACGCTGATAGAAAAGAGCACAGAAAATGGAAAACTCATTTTAGATGTTTTGAGATAACGATGAGCGAGAGGCCGAAAGGAGATGGTTGGACCTGTTCAGAGAAAGGATGGAGAATTTATTGGTAGAAGGATGTTGATTTTTAGAATGATCGGGAAACAAGAGGACTAGAAGGAGATTTAGGGTGCAGTTACTACGGGTGCACCAATCCAGCCTTTTCACTTCCAATACCGATGTCGGCGGCAGATCAGCTTTGAAAAAAATACAAGTTCAATATTAAGATGTGTTTTGGGTCAAACATTGGCCACGTTTACATGATTACGTGATTTTTAATTCTGAATTTATTGTTTTGAATTAAATTGTTCTCCTTTAAGTTTACATGTAAATAATAATTCTGATTTAAGGTTTACATGGAAGACACTTTAAATCACCTTCATTTAATCCCACTCAACATCTGGGGTTCTCATTGGACAGGGACCCGAACGTATTTACATTGACAGGAAGAAAACACACACTTCAGCTGCTACCGGCTTTTTCTCATCTCTGTTTGTCGTTACGCCACCGACACAAACATGATAACCTTTTTTCGCAGTCGTTAACATACATTATGATAATTGTGCAGCAGCTGGAGAATTCTCATCACGCTTTACATCTGTCAGCTGAGGAGGAGAAGGGAAGAGTGTCGGAGAAGGAGGAAGAAGACAAACTGAGTCTGAGGCTGCTCTACCTCAGCCCACAACCACATCCCGCTCACAAATCCAAAGTGGATGAAAGTCCGAAGCCAGGACAGGTGGAGCCGGATCTCAAACAGAAAAACATTTTGTTCCACCTTGTGATGTCATGTGAAAATACAGGAAGTGCATGCAGCAAGAGCATTTTGAACTTTGGAGATGCACACAGACAGTTAACAGGATTACTGTATTTTTTAGACTATAAGTCTCTCTGGAGTATAAGTCACACCAGCCAAAAAGTGCATAATGAAGAAGAAAAAATCATATATGATTTGCATAAGTCACACATTTTGGGGAAAATTTATTTTATAAAATCAGAAACCAGGAACTGACATGTCATCTTGAAAGACAAGTTATAATTATAACAATAGAACAGACAACAACAGACTGTTAACAAGTTCACCAAACTCTCCATCTCACTCCAAATCACTAAATCCATTGAGTTCTTACCTCCGGAGGTAAACAGAGCCCCGCTTCCTCTTCTGTGTCACTGTCGTCAGACTCAGCATCAGTTCCAGTTAGAATTATTATTCTGGATCCCGACAGGATGGTTTCAGTGAATCACTGAAGTCCAGACTTTGTCCATCCATCCAGTGACTTCAGGAAAGTTTCATGGTGCATCCTCCCGGTGTCACAAGTTTCTCACTCACTCCAAACTTTCTTTCTGCTGCTTGATTACTGTTTTCAGCTGCAGATTTCTCTTTTTGCAGTTTGTAATCTGCAAAATATGATTTTCTTTATGGGGGCATTTGTGTTCAGTCTTCTCTTTATAAGTTTGTTTAAAGTTTAATTGTTCAGTGGTTCAGAAGTAATGGTGCGATCGACTGACATGATCCAGACAGGACAGAGGCTCTTTCTGCAGGAGACATGTGCAGTAGAGTGAAGTGACAGTGGTACAGGAGGAACAGGAGCAGCAGATACTCACACACAAGACTAGAACCTCTCACGGCTTCAATGTGAACATTTTAATATAGAAGTTGCACTAGAGTATAAGTCACAAGAAACACCCAAACCATGAAAAAAATTGCAACTTAGTCTGAAAAATACAGTACTCAAACATGTGTAAATGAAACAAAACACAACAGGGTATGTTTTTTTATGGGTTAAGTTAACAACATTCTAAAATGCCTAAAAGCGAAAAGAGTCCAAGAAGTTCCATAGTTGCTGCACTGCTTCTATTCAACATCTAGAGTCACAGCAGATCTTCAAATCCATTCACTTAGTTTATGTGCCATTGTCTCTTATTTACATTTTGGTCAGACCAAAAGACAACCAAAACTAACTGCTCTATTGTTTTAAGTGATAATAGCTGTAGGTGGATCCAGTGCAATCAATTGACTGTACATGAGACATATTTGCATGGCCGTTTCTTTGCGTACACGCAGTATCCGAGCTGTGCGGCGAGCTGGAGAGGGCGTCCCGCTGAGTTGGAAATCTCCGCTCGGCTCCGTGACTGTAGCGCTTAGTGGAGGTTTAATAGGTCCTTATTGATCCAGGGGAAAGTGTGCTGGCCTCACGCAGAGCTCTTTACAGGAA